TTTTCCTTCCTTTCCTTTAACTGCCTTATCCATCACCCAAGTTGGCATGTGTCTACCTACACTCTTCCCTGGTGTGGCACTGTAAGATAAGCACTGGACAGTCGTTCAGACCGCAAGGTCAGCGGTTCAAACCCACCAGCCACTCCTTGGAATCCCTAGAAGGGGCTGCTATGAGTCGGAACGGACTTGATAGCACGTAACGTGGGCACGCTTCACCCAGGGGATTCTTCTCCCACGTCTGGTCCCCATCACAGGAAGTCTATCGCAGAATGAAAACTCTCCGGAACGTGTCACAGTAGCGGTCTCATTTCACAGTTATCCCTTTGTGACTATCTAATGTCACTCACATGGGGATTTTCTTGCTGTTACTATCATTTGGGTACATTTGTCCCTTTTGTCAATCATGCAAACGGATTTCCGCTCTGTAGTCTGTCTTCTTATTTTCTTCAAGGTTTGTTGTTGTTGTTGTTGTTAAGTACCATGGAGTCAGTTCCGACTCATAGCAACCCTGCACAGGGTTTCTGAGGCTGTAAATCTTTACGGGAGCAGAAATCCTCATCTTTCTCCTGAGGAACGGCTGGTAGTTTCGAATTGCTGACCTTGAGGTTAGCAGCCCAATTCAGGTAGTGGTTCTCAAACATTTTAGTCCCAGGATCCCTTTGCACTCTTAAGACTTGATACCCCTAAGAGCTTTTGTTTACATGGATTCTTTTGTGGTGCAAATGAGTAACAGTTTCAGCTGCTCACCGGAACATTGGAGGTCTGAGTCCAGCCAGAGGCACCTTGGAAGAAAGGTCTGGCTATCTCCTTCCAAAAAATCAGTCATTGAAAACTCCACAGAGCACAATTCCACTCAGAAACATATATTTTAGAAATGGTTATAAATTATTTTAAAACACAGCATTGTTAAAATATTTTTTTATGATAAATAATATCTAAAAAATAAAAATCATGAGAAGAGGGCCACTGTGTTATACTTTTGTAAATCTCTTTAATGTCTGGCCTAATTAAAGATTCAATTCTTGTAGGAATGCTGGTATATATCACTGTAGGATAAGCAAGGTGAGCAGTTCAAACCCACCAACAGCTCTTCAGGAGAAAGATGAAACCTTCTGCTCCCATAAGGATTTGCAGCCTCAGAAACCCTATAGAGGGTCATGACGAGGAGTCAGAACCAACTCAGAGACAGCTAGCTGTTTGTTGGGAGTTAGATTCTTCGGGTCACAACTTCTGCCTTTGCTGCAAAACTATGCATCTAGGAGACTCCACTGCCCTTTGTGATAGAACAGAGTGGGAAGGGACTTTTTTTTTTTTATATATATGTTTCATTGTTAATTATGTGATCATTTACATGGGAGAACATTAGTTTTGCATTCCTCCTATCATTATCATTTCCTTGCCATGGTTACAATCCCCTCTATGCAACATCAAGCCTGCCCCACGGCCGTCAGCACACAGCCCCTCTCCCTCTCTGGGTCTAAAGTCCCCAGCTGCTCCATCGCTCCACGTCATCATCTCTGAAAAGGGACTATTTTAATCATAACTTTTTAATGACAACACTGATGGGGTATCATTCGCCTCTCAAACCACACTTTGAGGAAAGTTATGTGAAACTTATCCTTTGATGAAAAAAAAGTTTCTCATTATTATGTTGTTGTTGTTAAGTGACATCGAATTGGTTCCAACTCAAAGCAACCAACTCCTAGAGACCCTGTGTAGGGTTTCCAAGTGCCGCCCTGGTGGTTCAAACCCACCTTGTGGCCCACTCTGCCCTTACTGCTTCTTTCATTGTTTGTGTGTGTGTGTGTGTGTGTGTGTGTGTGTGTGTGTGTGTCTCACGGAATAGTCCCAACCCTGAGGTCTAACAGCCAGTAGGTGTTTCTACCAAGAGTTTTTAGTCTTCACATTTAATTCCTTGATACACCCAAAGTTAACTTTATATGATGTGAGGTAGGGATTAAATTCTTTTTCCTATATGCAACCATTTCCCCCCAGCTGTTCATTAATTTGCTCAAGGTATGGTTCCTGGGGTCGCTATTCTATCCTACTGACCCATTCCTGAATCAGAAGCACATTTTAATAATCCCTGGCTCCACTGAGTAGCCCTGTGTCCAGAAGAGAAAATGCTATTTGCTGGACTCAAGCATGGCAACAATTGTGAGGTTGGCCCAGGCTCGGGTCGCTATGAGTCAGTACCGACTCGATGGCACCTAACAACAACTGTTCTTTCTCAGAAGGATCTCACTTTTCTTGGCCCTTTGTCCTTTCACAGACATTTTAAAGTTAGTTGTCCAAACTCCATGAAAACTGTCTTGGGAGTTTGATGGGAACGGCACTGAATCTATAGGTAATTTGTGTAGACTTGACATCTTCAGAACGTATGGTCGTCTTCTCCAGGAACACTTTGTACGTCTCCACTCATTTCAGTCTTGTTTGATGCCATTTAAACTCCGTAATAGTTTAAAATTTATACTCTAAAAAGATTCTCTTGAGTATCATTTATTAGATTTATTCTCAGGAACTTGATGCTGTCTGATTCTATTCTAATTTGTCATCTTTTTAATTTCACTTTTCTTCTTTGCTTGTTGCTAGTCTACAGAAAGGCAGTTCACTTTAAATTCTTAACCCCACAACTGGTTCCACAGGCCCACATCTACTCGCTGGGGGCCACGCTGAAGGCTGCTATGGAGTACGTGCCAGAGCCCGAACCTGAGCCCGAGCTCAGTGCAGACCTGGAGGCGCTCCTGAGTCAAATGCAGGCAGAGAAGCCAGGGGACCGGCCTGACCTGGAGGTGAGCCCCATGGTCCTGCAGCCGCACACAAGAACACACATATGTGCCTAGCAGGTATGAAGGGCCTCATGCCAACCCCCACCTGTCCCTGTGAGTGCCCATGTCTGGCTTTGTCCACAGAGCGTCATCGCGCTATGTGAGGAGAGGATGAAGAGCATGTCCTCCTGCCATCTGTGCCGCAGTCTCTCGGCCGTCGGGAGGAGAGTGCTCTCCATCGAGTCCTTCGGGGCACTCCAAGGTGAGCAGGTACCAAGCATGCATGCCCACAGGCACACACAGGTACACAAACATAGACACACACACACAGAGCATGCACACACAGGTACACAAACACAGACACACACAGACCATACACACATAGACACACACACACAGAGCATGTAAACACAGGTACATAAACACAGACACACACAGAGCATGCACACATAGGCGCATACAGACACACACAGACCATACACACATAGACACACACACACAGGGCATGTACACACAGGTACGTAAACACAGACACACACCATGCACACATAGGCGCACACAGACACACACAGAAAATGCACACACAGGTACACAAACACAGATAATGCACACATAAGTACACAAACCCAGACACACACAGACCATGCACACATAAGTACACAAACACAGACATGCATAGACCATGTATACACGTCTACTCACATTAACATGTACATGGATTCATGCACACAGGTAGACTCATGAACAGACAGGCACATCAATTCACACTCAAGCATGCACACACACATTGATGTACATGCATACACTCACAAACACACATGCACAGAAACATACACACACATACACACATGCTCACGTGGATCCAGGCATCCACGTGGACACTCACACATGATCCAGCTGTGAGGTAGACTCGGGAGGCTTGCACCCACCGTGGCGTGGGAACTGCAGGCTACAGAGGATGGCAAGGAGCCGTGTGTGTGTCTCGAGGCTCACCTGGGAGAGTATCCGCAGGTGTGGCTGAGCTGGGCCTGTGGGAATCTCACTGTGCTTTTGCAGTAGAACAATTAGGCAGCCAAGGGCTCCCTTAGGAAACCCCTTAGTGAGGATGAAGCCCAGAGCCTCATTAATTAGCTAGGATCCGGTGACTAACAAAGGGAGGTACTGAGGGGGGTGGGGGGGTCTGGGAGCCGTCCCAGGAGTCTGTGCTCAAGGGTGTTTGAGGCGGGGGTCTCCAGCCCCTGCTCCCCTCAGTGACCCCACTTTCTCTGACACAGATGTCAGCGAGAGCACTTGGAGGGGGAGATTCGCACCCAGAAGTTCCGGGCCCAAGGGGCAGCCTGGAGACCTCAACACTGACCCGGACCTGCCTGCGGGTGGCCCCTGCAGCCAAGGGCAGGAGAGCAGATGGGGTGTTCGGTCTACACCCCCAAAACCCTTGCTCTCAGCACCCGTGAGAAATGGCGAGAGCTCCGAAGGGGAGGGGCTATGCTCAGAGCAACTGGCTGGCCTGCTGCTGGACACCAGGGGGCCCCTGGGCGACCTGGACCGTGGCCTGCTCAGGAGAAGCCGCCTGAGGAAGGTACAGACGTTCCCCCGGCTCCTGGCCGAGGGCCCCGAGGCTGGCCCCCTCTGCCTGTCACTGACCAGAAGCCAGCTGCCTGTACCCGAGCTGTTCACCGCTGACTACAGGAAGATCTTTCCAGAGGGAAAAAATGGCCTGCTGGGTCTCAAGGCCAAGTTCAGACTGTGGCCTGAGGAGGGGCCAGAGCTGCCTCTGCACAAGGAACAAGATCCGGACGGTCCAGGGGACACAGGGGCCCTGCCGGGAGCTGGTCCAGACGGTGGCACGGCACTGCAAAGCTCCAGCCAGGGGAGGGCAGCCAGCACACCAGCTCAGTCAGCAGAAGAGGGGCTCTGTGAGTTCCACCCTGAGCCTGCTGAGGAGAGCCCCCCAGCCCACCTCCAGGAGCCTCGCAATTCCCATGGAGAAACCAGGACTGGCTGCAGCACTTCAGGTGTTCCGGAAGGAGCTGGGCAGTCAGGAGCCACGGCCACTGAGCAGGTGGGCGGCCCGTATTCCCCAGTGCTCCACACGGCACTGATAATTCAGCCCAGGGAGGAAACCAGGTTCCCTTCGCTTCTCAGTAACTGAGATATTCAGGGTAGGTGGGGGCTGTAGGTCTTCTGGCATTTGAAACGTTAGAGCCCACTGTTCTGTCAAGCTTGGGATTTAGAGCCACCAGGAAGTGCCCAGAGCTGCTCAGTCCAGGCCTGGTCATTACTGTCAGGTACTCTCCGCTCTCTGGTGTGGACAGGCCTTCCCTGGGACAGACGGGGCCCTTGCTGGGATGAATGGGTCCTCATGGGGTCAGATGGGGCCTCACAGGGTCAGACAGGCCCTCCCTGGGGCAGACAGGACCTCGCTGGGGTGGACGGACCCTCACGGGGTCAAACGGGATCTTCGCTGGGTCAGATGGGGCCTTTATTAGGATGGACAGGCCCTCAGCAGGCCAGGAAGTTCTCCCATTACAAGTTGCTCCTTTGTTCTAAGAGTTTGTGAGCTCCCTACAGATACAACCCTGCACTCGGGGACAACGGGATCCTTGAATGGACCAAAAGTGGGATTAGGGTTCCTGCCCCCCTGCTCCACCCTAAGGGGGTCAGGGTTGGCCTAGAGCTGGGAAGGGAGTAGAATCCGCCCTTGTCCAGAGCTCTGCTGCAGTGCCCAGACACCCCATCTGTACTGGACACGCTGAAGGTCCAGAGGAGGGGGCCTGGCCAGATGCTGTCATGGGATGTCACCCTGGCTATGCATGGCACTGAGCAGCAAGGAGCCCAGAAGCACTCTATCTCCACAGGTCATGTAGAGGGGTGAGGGGTGGACACTGGCTTCTGGAACCTTCCACCAATGCAGTCACCTGGGCATCCTGAGTCATTGTGGCCTTGGATGGGGAGCCTCGATGATACGGAACGCTCTGAGGCTCAGAAACTGCTTCCAGCCCATGGGCTCCAGGCTGGGGCCGGCCCTCCTGACCACGGCCCTCTCCTCCCACAGTGGACGTCCCTGAAGGACCTCCTGGCTAAGCTCGGCCGGCCCTTTCGGGAATACGAGCTGTGGGCTTTATGCCACCAGAGCCTCCAGACTCTGCAGAGCTACATCGAGTTCCCAGGTAACCGCCCCGCCCTCCCTCCTGCCTTACAGACTGCCACCTGAGAGGGACATCGAGCCCACTGAGTGAGGCCCAGGGCGGTCAGCATAGGGCTCAGGACAGATACCTTCCCCTCCTGTAACCGAGCCAGCCTGCTAAAAGGAAGTGACTGTCGACATTCCAGCCACATAGTCTAACGTGGTCCCCAAGGAAGGACAATTGGTTATGGGGGGACCTTCAATATCCCAACCATTTGTGGTTCTCAAATCCAGCCCCACAGGATGAACTAACGGGATGAGGCAGGGAGGGGCAGCGTGGAGAGCAGTGTCCACCAAGGCTCCAGGAGAACACTGCATTCAGGCCCACGACTCTGGATGGGCCCCCCCTTCAGCACTATGCATCTGGGCTGGTGGCATGGGACAAACAGGGAGGGTGTGGCCTGGCACTCACTGCAAGACCCCTGCCATCCTGAGGGGGATGCTGGTGAGCTAGGAGGGGCCAAGACAGTATGCCCACCTGCCCCATGTGATGGCCCTGGTCAGCCAGTGACTCAGAGGCTCCCCTGACACCTCACTGTCCTGCAGCCTACTTGTGTCTGGACTCCGTGCTGGTCACCGAGGACGGCGCTGTGCTCTTCGGGGCACCCCCTGACAATGGTGTGTATGGGGGCTCGCCGGGCACTGTGCTCCTGGGAGCAGGCAGCTGCCAGCACAGTCTAACCTGGGTTGTTCCTCAGGCTCCTACAACTCATTTTTCCTGGCTCCGGAGGTCACAGAAGAGAAGCGGGTAACAGAAAAGGTAACCCAGCCTCCTTGTACTCTATCCTAGCCCCGGCCCACAGACCCTCACAGTAAGGGGCCCCCACTCCCAGCTCTCCTCTCTAAGAGAGGAAGGAGTGGAAGGGAGTGAGCATGGTCTCCAGACTCAGGTGGGATCCAGGCAGGTCCCGGGAGGACACCGCACATGCCCAGGTGGGATCCAGACAGGTCCCAGGAGGGCACATGCCCAGTGCCTCCACTCTGGATGGAGCAATGACCTCAGGCAGCACCCACCCAGCAGGTGTTGCTCAGAAGGTCCCGGGGACACAGTCAGGCAGTGACTGTCCCAACAGCTCTCTGCGTGAACTTGGAAGTGGTGGTGCATGGGCCATCTGTTCAACAGAAGTTGTTAGAAATCCATCATTAAATTAAGTTGAACAAACTGACAATTAAATTATACTCTGGAAAGCAGAGCAGACACACTGTTTCTATTCCTCCCGAGAAGTCCACCCGAACCCCTGCACGTTGTACATGAAACAAACGTAAGGAAACTCTGGACAGTGGGGGAAGCTGGAAGACAGCACAGACTCAGGATGGAAGAAACGACCCAATAGTGGGGTCCTGGCTTTCCTTGTGTCTCAGATATCACAGATTTGGGGCTGAAGAAGTCAGCAAATCAGAAACCACCTTGGCTGCAGCAAAAAGGCAAAAACCAGTCCCCTGCAGACAAAGGGGCAGCCCAGCAAAACAGAAAACCCTCAGAAATCCAAAACCATCCCTCCAGCCAGACACGCAGGATAAACCAGCCCCACCAACACCACACCCACAAAGGCAAAGTGGGAGCACAGATTTACAGCATCTCCCTTCTGTAATGAGGAACCCAGCTTCACCCCCGGGGTGCTGTCAGAGGAAGCTGGGGAGGGCCAAGACTTTCAACCCCACTAGTTGGCTCTGGTAGCGTAGTGGTTACGAATCGGGCTGCGAACCTTAAGGTCAGTGGTTCGAAACTACCAGCCGCTCCGCGGGAGAAAGATGAGGCTTTCTACTCCCGTAAGGATTTACACCCTCGGAAACCCTGTACAGGGTCGCTATGGGTCGGCTCCGACTCGATGGCACTTAACAACAACAACAAAGTTGGCAATGAGGATCCCATCCCCCCCCCCACACACACACACACACCTACAGAGGAGAGCCCACGGGGAGCCAGGACGTCTGTCTCCTCTCCGCTGTCAGTAGACGTCTCAGAAGACATCTAGAGGAGGCTCAGGACCCTCGGCACCAACACCTGGAGGTAGTGGCGTCACCGTGACCTCTTACATAGGGGGTCCATATGGAGGCCGCCTACCCCTCCCAGGGACTAGTGAAAACTTAATGGGGAATCAGAACTCCCACGCCTGTCCAGGAGTAATGAGGAGCACCCCCTCCTCAAGTGTCAACAGAGAGAAACTGAACTTCAGACCCCACCTGGGAGTGGAAGAGGCAGCCTCCCTTTCCCCGCCAAAATGATGTCACAGAAAGCCAGCTAAAATAGAAAGTTTAAGTAAGACCCAAAGTCTTTTAACACAATACAAAAATATCTAGGTTTCAATAAAAACCACTCATTGTTCCAGGAGCCAAGAAGACCTCAAACTGAATGAAAAATCAATAGATTCCAACCCTGAGATGACAGTGTTCAGAGTAGCTGACAGAGATTTTAAAGCAGCCATCATAAAAATGCCTCAACAGACAGTTATTAACACATTCAAAACAAATGAAAAATTTTAATCTGAGCAAGGAAATAGAAGATAAAAAAAGGAACCAAATGGAAATAATTTTAGAACTGAAAGAAGTAACTAAAGAAACACTTTAACTCATTGGCTGGGATCAATAGTAAATGAAGGGGTAAGAAGAAAGCATGAGTGGATTTAAAGATAGGTCCATTGAAATCACCTGATCTGAACAACAAATTCGACCGAGAGGTCTATGAGTCAGTAATAAAAAATCAAATGTTTGTGTCACCAGAGTCCTGGAAAGAGAGGTGGAGGAAGATGGTGGGGCAGAAAAAGTGCTCAAGGAAATAATAGCTGAAAACGTCCCAAATATGGCAAAAGACGTAACCCTAAAGATTTCAGAAGCTGAGTCTTACTTCATACTTCAAACAGGATAAACCCAACGACGTATTGCATTAAGTAAATCTGCTGCACAAGACCTTTTAAAAGCGTTGAAGAGCAAAGATGTCAGCTTGAGGACTAAGGTGCGCCTGACCCAAGCCATGGTATTTTCAATAGCCTCATATGGATGCGAAAGCTGGACAGTGAATAAGGAAGATGGTAGAAGAATTGATGCTTTTCAATTACGATGTTGGAGGAAAATACTGAAAGTGCCATGGGCTGCCAAAAGAACCAACAGATCTGTGTTGGAAGAAGTGCAGCCAGAGTGCTCCTTGGAGGCCAGGATGGCCAAACTCTGTCTCTCATACTTCGGACATATTGTCAGGAGGACCAGTCGCTGAAGAAGGGTATCATGTTTGGTAAAGTGGAGGGTCAGAGAAAAAGAGGAGGACCCCCAGCAAGATGGATTGGCCAAGTGGCAGCATCAATGGGCTCAAGCGTGACAATAATTGTGAGGTTGGCCCAGGACCGGGCAGAGTTTCATTCTGTTGTGCATAGGGTCACTATGAGTTGGTACCAATTTGATGGCACCGAACACCACCACAGAAAGTCAGCAAAGATACAGAAGAGCCAACTCATAATAACTCTGTATGGGCTTTCCAAGGAGCTGCTGGTAGGTTTGAACTGCCGACTTGGTGGTTAACAGTCCGGTGCTGATTCAGGAGCGCCACACCAGGAGTCCAAGGGAATACTAGTATGGTTTTGTCAAGTCCCTTCGAGTCTGACTCATAGTGACCCCGTATAGGGTTTCTGAGAAACAGCTGGGGGTCAAACCAACCTTGGAGTCCAGTGCTTACCCTACAGAACTCCTACAAACCTAAATACTGCAAACCAATAAAACCAGCCCACAGCCACTTAATGACTCCTGAGAGCAATCCTGCAGGCCAGAGGAGAGCTGCCCCATGGGGCTTTCGAGACCATAAATCTTCACAGGAGCAGACAGCCTCCTCTTCTCCCTCGGAGCAGCTGGTGGTTTGAACCATTGAACTTGGGGTTAGCAGTACAATGCTTAACCCACTGCATCACTAGGGCTCCTTACAAACTTTAACAAAATGGACCAGTTCCTTAAAAAATACACACTACGTCAACTCATGACTCACTCAATACGAAGTAGGTCACCTGAACAGCTGAGAGCTATGAAATTAAATAGCGTGTCTAGGATTATTTGCTCAGCATACAGACTGAATAAGTATGGTGCAAGAATCCAATTCTGGCGCACACCTTTCCTGATTTGAAACCATTCAGTGTCCCCTTGTTCTGTTTCAATGACTGCCTCTGGTTCCCACGAGCACAATGAAGTGCTCAGGAGTCTGCATTTCTCCAGTGCTGTCCATAGCCTACCATGATCCACACAGTCAAGAGCCTTGGTAGAGTCAATAAACCTCAGGTAAAGGTATTCCTGGTATTCCATTTCAACCAAGATCCACCTGATGTCAGCAATGATAGCTCTGGTTCACGTCCTCTTATAAATCCAACTTAAATTTCTGGCATTTCTCTATCGATGTACCGTTGTAGCCATTTTTAAATTATCTTACACAAAATTTTATTTGCATGCACTATTACTGATATTGTTCTATGATTTCCACACTCCATTGGATCACCTCTCTTTGGAATGGACACAAATATGGATCTCTTCCAATTAATTAGCCAGGTAGCTGTCTTCCAAATTTCTTGGCATAGACACGTGAGCTCCTTCAATGCTGCCTCAGTTTATTGAGAGTTCCATTGGTATTCAGTCAACTCTTGGAGTCTTGTTTCTAGCCAACAACCTTCAGGGAAGCTTGAACTTCTTCCTTCAGTTCCATTGGTTCTTGATTAGATTTTACCTCCTGAAATGGTTGGACCCTGACCATGTCGTTTGGGTAAGTATCTCTGTTTATTCCTTTCATCTTCTTTTGATGCTTTCTGCAACATTAAATAATTTACCCAAAGTTGTTGTTGTTAAGTGTTATCAAGTCAGTTCCAACCCATAGCAACCCTGTATAAGGTTCCCAAGGAGCAGCTGGTGAGCTTGAACCAACCCTTGAATATTGCAAGTCAAGGCTTGAATTTTTTCTTCAGTTATTTCAGCTTGACAAATGCTGAACACGTTCTCCCCTTTTGGAGTTCTAACTCCAAGTCTTTGCACATTTCATTATTATACTTTGTCTTCTTGAGCTGCCCTTTGAAGTTTTCTGTTCAGCTCTTTTGCCTCCTCATTTCTTCTCTTCACTTACCATGGAGAACAAATTTCAGAGTCTTTTCTGACATCCATTTTGGTCTCTCTTTCTTTCCTGTCTTTTGAATGATGTTTTCTTCCTGTATGATGTTCTTGATGTCATCCTACAGCTCTTCTGGTCTTCGGTCATTAGTGTCTAAATACATCAACTCTGTTCTTGAGATGGTCTCTACATTCCGGTGGCATGTGTTCAAGGTCGTATTCTGGCTCTCGTGGACTTGTTTCAATTTTCTTCAGCTTCAGCCTGAACTGCATATGAGCCATTGATGGTCTGTTCCCCAGTCTGCCCTGGTCTTGTTTTTGGACTTCTCATATTAAGCTTTCCTTCGTATCTTCCCACAGATGTAGCCAATTTGACTCCTGTGGATTCCAAGTATAGACCAATATCCCTCCTATCATTAGATACAAAAACAAGACTGAGACTTCAGCGGAAGTGACCCTTTCATTCTCTTCACACAAGACGGTGCCTTGGGGAGTATGAGTGAACTAGTCTGTTCATACCCTACTTTAAACTCCATCCAAAGGGGACCCCCCCAAACGGGATCCCTGAAAACCAGTGACGTGCTCGCAAACCTCAACAACAGAAGTGTGTGCGTGTCTCTGACACCAAGAACGGATAGGCCACAGTTTACAAGGAGTACTAGAACGTCCACAGCTCTTCATAGAACCTTTCACAGAGCCAGTTGGTTCGCATAAGAAGCTTTCCTTGATTCCCCCTAGCCTGTGTCTCCCGCCTCCCAGAGACGAACCAGTGTCTCTCTGACATGACATTCTCTACCTGAGACACCGTCAGAACTTCACTCGTTCTAAGATCATAGCTGTTGCACACTGGAGCAATTGTTCCTGACATTTTTTGCACCGCTCACAATGTGACGGCTACTTGCGCATATGCCTTTAAACTTGATCTGCATTATTTGTATTCAGTCCATCACTTGATTAAGTCACTCGACAAAACAGTAGTAAATCAAGCCCAGATCTGTGGCCGATGTCCACAAAATGACTGAATCACCGGGGTCCTTGTTAAACATGCAGCTTCCCAGGCTATGCCCCAGATTCTGGTACAGAAAGTGGGGGAGACAGAGGCACCCCAGCCCCATGGCCTGTCTCACGGTTCATCAGGAGCTGCCACCCTACCCCGTGGGGAGTCCCTGGGGCACGGCACGGCTGGCCCCACAGTGCCCTGCTCCCCTCTCTCCCTCATCCAGGCCTCGGTGTACTGTGTGGCCGCCGTGCTGTGGACCGCAGCCAAGTTCAACGTGCCCCGTGACCACAAGCTGGCCCTACCTCGAAAGCTCAAGGCCCTCCTCCTGGAAATGGCCCGATGCAGTGCCCAGGAACGGCTGTCTGCTGCCCAGGCAATCAAGGTAAGTGTCCGGTGATTGCACCTGGATAGTCCCAGGGCTGGGGTGGTGGTCCTCCATTGCTAAGCTGGACTTTCTGGTCACCCATGTTCCAAACATTTTCTGGGAACTGTTTTGGTCAAGTGCTGAGCAGCTGCCCTGAGACCCTGGCCGGAACCCTGAGTGTGGCCTCAGCTCCCACAGCCTCCTGACGGCCCCTCCGGCCTCCCATTTTTGGTTCATGGACAAGCATCACATCTCTTCTCTGCTGGACTCGGACCCCAGGCTGGGGCCAGCCAGAACTGGATCTTAACCCCTCCAGAGGTGCCTCAGCCAAGTAGGAGCAGCAGACAGAGCAGGGGCAACCCCATGCAGACGGGGCGAAGAAAAACTTTGGGGTTGGGGCCTGGGCCAGGTGCTCACCTCTCTGGCCTTGGAGGCTCCCTGTTAGCTGCGGATGATATCTAACAAGGTTCCTACCATGAACGGGTGCGAGGTGCCCAGGTGGGCTCCTTACCTGAAGGCTCTCTGTCTTCCTTGGGCCATACTGCCCATCACGCTGAGTGGAAGAGAGAACTGGATCTCCACAGTGCCATCCTGTCCACACATCAGAAGGTCCAGCCCTGGGAAGTCAATGCCAGGGCCACCCACATGCCCCATGCACACCACACCTAGCAGGGCACACTGCCCAAGGGTCTGAGCCTTCACTCAAAGTCACACCGGGGTGACAGACGCCTGGCCTCACCGAGCCAGCCATAGGTGAGCTCGGCCACACTCAGGTGGACCTTTCTGCCATCACCTGGCTGGCCAAGTCCTGTGGGGGCTGCTTCCCTGTTCAATTACAGCTCATTGGAGTCACCAGCACTGGTAGCTCGCTCTCATCTGTTTTTCAGATTGCAATTCCGGGGGCACTTTGTGTGTGTGTGCACCCACACTGCTGGATTCAGACCTGATTCTGCCAGGGACCAGGGTTTTATAAGTCCCCTTCTGTAGGTTGGAGGTGTTCTGAGAACCTCCTGTCTGCCATCTTGCATGGGGACAGAAGTGATGCAGGGCCCTGGGCACTGAGCTTACCTGTTCCCTCTGCAGTGGCTGTCTGCAAGGCTGACCCACCACACAGGCCGTTTTGTTCTGCATTTACTCCCAGGCTTGAAGGCCACGAGCACAGACACAGAAGTTCAAGGCCGACTGACCGGCCTGAGACCCACCTGGCCCCTAAGACAAAGCACCACTGGCTCCTCTAAAGGGAGGCACCAGGTTGTCCTTGACCCGAAGTTCTGTGGTGGGCTTTCCCCAGGAACTTGGCGGTATCCACACACATACACACGCTTCCCCGTTGTTCACACTAGCTGAGCTAACCTGTCAACACTGATGCCAACTGCTCCCTGTTTCTTGCTTTCAGATGTGCAATAGCTACCTCCTTCAGCGAGGCATGGACAGCAAGAAGATCTTAGCCCACCTGAGTGCGTCTACCTGTAAGGTAAGATGCAAGTTCCCAAAGCACTAAGTCTGTATTCTGCCCTTGGCACCTGTTGGTCCTAAAGTGTTTCCTGCAGAGTTTGGGTGGAATTGTGGGGAAGACAATGGTGCTCTTCCTAAATGCCTTCCTGCTTAGCTTAGCCCTTGGGGTGGGGAGTCAGCCCTCAGAGGTGTTGTCAGAGCCTGTGTGGGTCCTTCCAGACCCCTGGCCTTTAGCATAGTTTACAAATGTGCCCATCGGCTTTCCTGGTCCCGTGGGCCTCCAGGTGATGGCATCACGTTCTCCCAGGCACCTGACACCCCCACCAAGCATTGGGAATTGGGGTTCTGCACAATGCTCGGTCTTGGTTGTGGTATCATCATCCCACCCCCTAGAATCCTGGGGGAACCTGAAGCTCTGAGGGCTGGGACAGAAATCAAGACAGAAACTATGGGATTTGTTGACAGAACACATGGTGAAGGGCTCCTGATTCAAATAAAATCAGGTTTCATAGGCACCTTCCTCCCAGTCCCACGACCTGCAGGGTCCCCCAGCCCCCTGAGCTACAGATTCCTCAGTCCCCTGAGCACATTCCGCTCCACGTGAGGGATGCAAAGAATAGGTGCAGTGGAGGAAGCACCTGTGGGGAGTGAGCCCCCGCCTCACTCCGTGTGAACACAGTTGGACACATGCTGATGGATGCTTCCGCCCCAGGTTTACCAGGAGAAAGAAACCATCAGTCTTCAAAACTCCCTCTCAGTGATTGACTTGGAGCTGGACATGACACCCCCTCCAGAGCCAAGCCCAGGTGGGGTCCCAGCAGCCTGCCTTCCTTCCTCAGCCCCTGCCTCCACCCTGTGTGCATGTGAGGGCAAGTCCAGGGCAGCATGTCCCAAACTCTCCAACTTGGAGCCTGACCTGCCACAGTAGCCACCATTTGGGGTCATGTGCACCTTGGCCAGTGGGAAAGGGGGAATGCCATGCCGCCGGGTGTCCTGTGGTGCCTCACTCAGCCCAGAACCCTGGGGGGGGGGGGGGCGGAACTCAACAGGCACCAATTCAGTGACACCACTGGGCTAAGCCCCAAATATCTCCTGTACCCTTCACACAGGACTGACCTTGTCCTGTCCACCAAAGAGATATCCGATGCCCACCCCCATTGCTTGCAGCAGGAAGAAGACACCCCCACCCCACCCCACCCCCCGCAAAGCAGAGCTGTGCACTTTCTTTCTGGAATTTTCCATCACTACCAAAAGAAAAACAAACCAAAACCTGCTGCCATGAACTCACAGTGACTATAGATAGATAGGGCAGACTAGTGTCTCACGGTTTCCAAGGCTATAATCTTTATGGAGTTAAGCGTTCAAACCCACCGGCCGCTCTCCTGGAGAAAGATGAAGCTATCTGCTCCCACAGAAATGTATGGTCTCAGAAACCCTAAGGGGCAGGTTTACTGTGAGTCAGAAACTGACTTCCTCATCCTCCCCACCAGATGGGCTGCTGGGTTGGAACCTTTCCTTTACAGCCGAGCGCTTAATCACGGTGCCACCAAGACTGTGTTCCATCCCTGCAGCCTTCAATACCTCTCCCTTCAGCCTCTGACCTGCTGCCATTCCCAGGGTCCTCCTTTTCCCCCAGCTCCCTGGACACTCCCTCACTCCCCCCCCCCCGCCCCCACCTCGCGATATCAACCTTTTCCTGCGTCGCGCAAGTGCCCAATCCCAGGCGTCAGTGAGACCATCCCGCAGAGGGTCTAAGGGTCGGGGCAGAGAGGGGGCGACGTCAGGCAGAGATCCTGACCAAGGACCTGTCCCCAGGCTTTGTGCCCGTTGGCAAGGACGCCAGGCTGGCCGCCGTTCAAGGACCCGTGCCGGGCAAACACGCCTCCCACACAGAAACCGCGGAGCTGCCGGCTGCGTTCACCTCCGCGGCCACGCACTTCAAACCCATCGTTCTCGCCCAGGACGCAGACGCCGTGTAAGTGCCGGGGCCGGGCTGGGAGCGCAGTGTGCAGGGCCCCCCTGAGCGCACTGCCTATTGTCTCCGCAGAGAAGAGCCCGCTCCAGCCCCTGGACCGGCCGAGAGGCCCGAGGAGGGGAGAGGCTGGGAGAACCCGGGGACACCCGCTCCTGAGGCCCGCGGGGCAACAGCCAGCACCAAGACGCCCGAACGGCCGGCACCGGATATGCAGTCGGAGGGCTCAGCCTCGGAGCGGCTCGGAGAGTCGACGGAGGAGCGCCCCTGCCCCACACTCCCCGACCCAGCCCACCGGCCAGCAGAAACCGCGTCCTCGAAGACCCCCAGATCTCCCGTCCGGGCTTCCCCACCGGCCGCACCGCGGAAGTCACAGGCCCGACCGGAACCAAGGTCAGAAGACACGGTCCGGCTGGAGGCCACTTCAGGAGGTTTCGGACCACGACGCCAGTCCAAGACGCCCAAGGGCACGGCCACCGAGCGCCCAGACCAGGAACTCGAGGGCCCCCGATGGGCAGCACAGGCCAGTCCAAAAGGCCCCCGGGTTTCCTTGGGCAGAGAGCGGCCCAGGCAAGCCGACCGCAAGCCGTGCGCCTCGTGCGCGGACACCTCGCCGCTGCTGAGGACGACGGCCTGCCCCTCTCTGCAGGAGGCCATGCGCCTCATCCAGGAGGAGTTCGCCATCGACGGCTACCTGGACAACGGATTGGAGGCCTTGATCATGGGTGCGCCAGCGCCAGAGCCCAAGGAGCCCCAGGACCAGGCAGGGCAGGGCCAAGACCATAGAACGGGTGTGGCCTAGGCCAGAGGCGGAGCCAAGACTAGTATGGGGGCGGTGCTAAGATCAGGGTGGTGTGGGTGTGGTCTTTCAGTGGGCGGGGCCAATGTCCGAATGGGGTGTGGTGTGTCCTATGCCAGGGGCAGGGTCTAGACAAGGGGGCGGGACCAAAGTCAGGGACCGGAGTGAGATGCAGGACCACGGAGGGCCTCAGAGTGGAGCCCTAAGACTACAAAGGGGAACCGAGCGGCGTCAAGAGTCCTAGCCAAGTCCCCTCTTCACACATCTCCGCGTCCCCCACATAACCCCACAGGGGTTAGAGTTCAACCCCCGAAGGGCTCAACCCACAGGAGATAAGGCTGCTAGAGGGTACCCAGAGCTAGAGCCCACCTCCCGTCCCCTCCCGTCTCCAGCTCAAGAGAGGGAAACCCTAAAGTCTTGCCATAGTATTAACCTTAACCTCTGGCGAACTAACCCCATTCCAAATCGACCCTGATGTTTGTAAACCAGGGGAATACATTTATGCTTTGAAAGACCTCACCTACGCCACCTTCTGCGGTGCCATTTCGGAAAAGTTCTGCGACCTTTACTGGAACGAGAAGTTGCTGAGAAGCCTCTTCAAGGTGGTGAACGGAACATCGCCCTCTGAGAGGTGGGCGCACCTCCCTGCAGTGCCCAGGACCCACAGTTGTGCCTTCCCCTGGCATCCACCTTGACATTCAGCAGGCCACCCAGGGGGATTCAACCCTGCTTACCAGTTTTCCAGATTCCTACTGAGGGTACCTGGGGAGACAGTGGGGGCAGCTTGACCAGGCGGCTGCTGGTGTCCTGGGTGGCAGTGACCACTGAAAAAGGTCATCCAGGCCATCAACGGGTCCCAAGAAATGAATGACCCTAACACTGTCTACCACTGTCAGCCTCTAGGAATGACCACATGCCCCAAGGTTGTTACTGCCCTGGGCGATGGTAGCAGCCTGTCCCACACCCCAGCTGGTCACACGGGAGCTGAGACTGGGAGGTCCCCCACACTAACCCTTTTGGTCACCAGTGTTTCAGAGGAGGCTGAACAGCAGCCTGAGGGGGATATCCAGGCCACCACGCCTAGCAGCTGCTCCTTATCCAGCAGAAGACCCTCAGGGCCCAGGACTGGTAAGTGGGGAGGTGCCACTGAGGAGAGGGTGGGACCTCTCCCAAAGAAGGTCCCTCCCTGGGACGTCCAGGCCAGCTCAGACCTCTGTCCAGGAACTACATGCTCTCCAAGGCCCCTTGCTGCCAGCCTGGGATGCCAGCCCACCTGATGGCTTTGTCATTTCCAGAGGTACAGGCTGAAGACTGGAGCTGTGTAGAGCAGGCTGGAGAGGGTGTGGCAGCGTGGGCCTGGTGGGGTCTGGGTGTTTCTGTTGCTCGGAAACCAGGCGTTCCTACGGGCACATCGGTGACTGGCAACCTTCTGTGGGGGCCGAGGAAGCCAGTGAGCCCAGGGGGGTCCAGGCCACCACACAGTGTTCTGAGTACATCACTAAGAGCTGCACGTTGGTGGGAAGAGACAGTACTGGGGTTGTTTTAAAAACTCCAGGAAAGATGAGCGGATGTGGAAGCAAAGTCGAGAATTGTTGGAGCTGGCGCTGCACACACCAAGCAAATCCCATGCTCCCTGTGCCCCCAAAATGTCCAGTAAAGAGTTGAAAAACAAAGTTCAATGTCCAGAGAAGGAAACTCTCTTAGCCCACTTGTCACACTTCCTGCAAATGGCTCAGCCAGTGGGAGAGCCCATTTGGAGTCGTCCCCAAGGACCTGGCTCAGACTGTTGGTCAAACTTGGAATCACTGCCTTGGGTAACCTGGCCTCTTTCTTCCAAGGGATAGAGACGCCAGCCACTGCCCATGCCGGCCGGGCACCCTGCTCGCCCACACCGCTCTCAGACCTAGACTCAGAGGCTATCTCCCGGGATAACTTCGAAGTGGCATTCCGACCACAAAAATCCATCAAAGCCGAGAAGGAATCTGTTGCTGGAGGTGGCCATCCACACAGCAGGGACCTGAACCCTGAGCCAGTCAGCGGGGACCCCAACCCAGGAGCGGTGGTCCTGTTGGAAGAGGGAGGCCTAGGCATGCCTCCAGGCCCCGCCGAGCTCCAGGGTTGCAGCCCCGGCTGGTGTAGCGCCTTCTACGAGGCGGACTGCTTTGGCACCGATGTACACAGCTACGTGGGAGAGCTGGGGCAGCAGAAGACCAGTGGGGCCTCAGACACCCAGGACCAGCACCCGGTGAGTTCAACATCCCATGAATCCAGCAACAGCTTCAGCCCTCCAAGGGATACTGGTGTGCTGACCTGGATGGGTGCTCCAGGGATACCTCTCTCGTGAGCCACACTCAGCTCAGGGGTGACTCTGGTGGGCATACGGTGTCACTCACTCGCCCTGCTTTTCATCTGCCCACCTGTTTCTGGACACCGTTACTTTGAGATGAGGGAAACAGCTGAAAGTCCCTACCTGCACACTTTGAGGCAGCCGGACTGACCAGACGGAGGGGATAGTACCTTCTGCATGTGGACCCTCCACAATCCGCACAGCCCAGAGGAAACCTTAGACTTGAGTTCAGCCTGATGTGCAGGAAACCGTGGGCAGAGCCTGGGCTGAGGAACGTGGAGGGAGGACAGACCATGTGGTCCTGCAGACGGTTCCCAGGTGGACAGTCCAGCTGGGCAGCCCCATTCCCTCCACTTCGAAGCCTCCACCCCTTCCTAGAATATGCACTTGCACATTTAGGAAAATTCATTTGGGACTTTGAGCCTTTTCCCTCCCCAACCCCCTACCGCCCCTATCTGTCTGCCATTGGGGCAGGGCCGGGGGGTGGGGGCACTTTGCTGGCCCAAAAAGCCAGGGTGGATGACAAGGTCAGCCAAGGATTCAGGGCAGACTGTGGCAGGGGCCGGGCAGGCCCTGAGGTCCAAGCTCAGGCCACACTTAGGGCCACATTATAGGTAGCTACTGCTTAAGGCAGTGACTGACTCAGACAATTTATCTAGGGAATCATAGATTGTTTGCTGGGAGTGTTCTGGGTGGGCGAACAGAGGGGACGAGTGACCTGTTTCTGTTTGTTTCCTGCACCTACCTCCCTACCCCCTGGGGAAGAAGTCTCCTGTGGACCTGGGATACAGCCAGGTGAGTTTTCTGTGTCACCTCCCCTCAGGTAACTGGGCAAAAGCAGCCCCTGGCCACTGTGCCCATTCTCCTTGAAGGCCCATTGTTTGCTTTAAGAGGAGGACAGAGAAACATGAAACAGCAGCTGGACAGGTGGTCACATCTGCAGCAGAAACACGGCACTAACTGGGGGCAGGCCGGGGCAGCAGGGTGGTGGTTTGACAGCTGTAGGGATATGTGTTGTCTCCATTCATTCATTCATGCAGTCTACAGTTCACCCAGAGCAGGCTCACCACACATGTCTGCACCTCTGTACCTGCGCACCTGTATACTTGTGCGCTGATACACCTGGATACCTATGCACTCACACGCCTGTGCATCTGAATACTTGTGTGCTTCCACACCTGTGTACCTGCACACCTCTGCACTTCTTTCACACCTGTGTGCCTGCACACCTGCGTATCTCTGCACCTGTGCACCTTCACACCTGTACCATGTGCCCAACACTACAAGCATCTTCAGGGAGGAAGTCAGAGCTAGAGCCGCTCCCTGAATCTCTCAGTCTTTGCTCTTTGAATCCTGGTGTGGCGCTGTGGGTTAATGCACTGGACTGCAAAGTTGAGTTGAACTACAAGGTCAGTGGTTCAAACCCATCAGTCACTCGTCAGAAACCCTATACAGGGTCACAATGAGTCGAAATCTACTCGGTGGCACTTAACAACAAAACAGCTTTCACTTTCAGTATTTGGATGAATGATCTTGGTTTCAGTTTATTGTTTCTTATCTTTGCCTGTAATGTTCCATTGTTTTCAATTTACCTCAGTGACTACTTTATCTGGACACTTCCCAATATTGTCAGCTTTCATGTCTATAAATTTAGTAGCTGCTCTACCTAAACTGTGCCTTAAATCATTCACATTTATCTCAACTTAACTTTTCTACTTTTGTAAAAATCCTCTAGCACGTTAAAATTTAAAAGCCTAAACACATCACGTGAGCATTTTGTTTGGATGTAGCTGATCCCAGCGACCCTGGTCAGTCTGTGGTTGGCTTTAATCGCATTTCTACCAAGATGTAGCCCGTGGTGACGCTCCAGTGCATACTTCTTCTGTCTCATGCCCTGTGCTGTGTGACGTCTAGTTAACCTAAACCTGACCTTAATCCCAGTCAAGACTGCCAGTTTCCAGCCCCACAACTGAAAACTAACAACTGTCATATCCCTCAGAGAATTGAGGCCACGAGACAAAACGCCACCCCGAAAACTGGAGCACTGGCTCACCACTCACTCAGACAAGGCTTCTCCTCTAACTCGGGGTGTGGGCGCACTCACAGGATACTGAGAGTCTCCCCCAAAGCTTCTCCGGGGCCATGGGGGTGTCACTTGGGTGACTTCGATGCTGGCCGGCACAAGAATGCCGTGAGGATGGGCATGTCTACGTCACGCTCTGAGCCAGCAGCCGAGTGTGTGAGGACAGTTGCCTCGGGTTGCAGTTTCTGTTTCCTCTTCAGGAGCTGGAGCAGCAGCTGATGATGGAGAAAAGGAGCTACCGGAAGACCCTGAAGTTCTACCAGAAGCTTCTACAGAAACAGAAGAGGAGCAAAGGTACCGTCGGTCACGTGCAACAGGGAGCCCCCTTCAGCTGCTTCCTGAAAGGTGGGAGGTTGCCTGTTGGTATCTACCCAGAGGCATCTTGGGAGAAAGGCATGGCCATCTACTTCCAAAAACCAGCTTTTGCAAGCCCTGTGGAGAGCGGTCCTTCTCTGGGCACACAACAGGACCTCACTGATCTTTTAACCTTTCAGGCTCTGAGGTGAAGACAATGCTGTCCAAGTTGAAAGGGCAACTGGAAGAGATGAAGTCCAAGGTGCAGTTCCTCGGGCTGGTCAAGAAGTACCTGCAGGTACGTCAGCGCTTCCCCCCCCATTGGATGTCACAGAGCAGCAGTCCCCAACAGACTTGGTGGCCGTCAGTGACCAGGTGCAGGCTGATGGACACGTCACTGTCCCATAGGCACGGGTCCTGCTGGTCCCACCCACACTTGCTGTCTCCCCTCAGGTGGCGTATGCGGAGCGGTGGGGTCTGGAGCCCAGCGCCCTGCCAGTGATCGTAAACATTGGGGCAGCCCACTGTGGGACATTGGACTTCAGCCCCCTGGACGAGTCCTCCTCCCTCATCTTCTACAACGTCAACAAGCCCCCGTGTGGTGGCGCCAATGGCGGCAGCAGACAAAAGAAGGCCCGTGTCCTGCAGGCGGGCACACCGCTCGGGCTCATGGCTTACCTGTACTCCAGGTGTGTCCAGGTGGAGGGGGGAGTGGGCTTTTCGAGCTGCTAGGGCCACGTGCCTGTTGGAGGTGGACACAGGTGGGAAAGGTCTGTCAGTCCCCCTCTGAGATCGGGTCATGCTGCCATTTCACTCGGAAAACATTCTCATCAGAGTTTTAAGCTAACTTCTATGAATGGCCACCAGCCTTTTCTGCCACAGGCCACAGCTGGATCCCTGTCGACAGAAGCACATCTGGGTCAGATTGTGCCCAGGCCAGTGATTGCAGGAGTGTGGCCTTGCACAACCACTAGCCCACTTCTAAACACTAGCTTGCATGGGTGCCAAGACAAGGATGAAGGCCCCCAAGTCACATGTGGAAACCCAGGACCAGTCCTCTGACCCTGAATTCAGGGAGTGCCCTCCGAGCCCCACCAAGCCCTTCACCCTCCTCCCACCCACCCCAGGGATCAGGAAGTGATGGAACGGGAAGGAGGGGCATCCAGAGTGGCCACAATCTCAAGTGACATTCAAACTCCACTTGGGACAACCAGGGGTCCGTCCACCTGACTGCCTCTCACTGGGCTCACTCACAGCCTGACCCATTCACGCTGACACGTTCACCCCAACATACAGTCACACCGGTACACACAGACTCACACCCTGACACGTTCACCCCAACACACACTCACACTGGTACACACAGGCTCACACCCTGACACAGTCACACCAGTACACACAGGCTCACACCCAGACATGTTCACCCCAACATACAGTCACAGCGATACACACAGACTCACACCCGGACACGTTCACCCCAACACACACTCACACTGGTACACACAGGCTCACACCCTGACACAGTCACACCAGTACACACAGGCTCACACCCAGACATGTTCACCCCAACATACAGTCACACCGGTATACACAGACTCACACCCGGACACGTTCACCCCAACACACACTCACACTAGTACACACAGGCTCACACCCTGACACTCACCCAACATACACTCACTGGTACACACAGGCTCACACTTGCTCACTCAACGTGTACACACAAATACACACTCAGTCCCTCCTACACTCACAGACGTGTTCACACTCACACGTCTCAACATGCTCACCTCATGCTCGCTCCCACCTGCTCAGTGACACTCACTGGCACGCCGTCATTTCCACACACAGGCTCAGACAAGTGTACAGTCACACGCACTCACATGCTCACACACACACAGAATGGGGGTACAGTGGTCTACAGCCCTCGTCAGCTCCGGCAGGACCCTTCACCATGGTTACAGCCAGCACTCTTGCTGACACACACAGCCACACTGCAGAACTGCTCAGAGAGAGGGTCAAGCCCTGAGGCCAGGGAAGGACACTGGAGTGGCATGAGGGGGCCTTGGGTGGGCATGGATAGCCTAGGTCAGTCTGGGCCTCTGGACTCACGGGTCTTCTGCCCCCAGCGACGCCTTCCTGGAGGGCTACGTGCAGCAGTTCCTGTACACCTTCCGGTATTTCTGCACTCCCCATGACTTTCTGCACTTCCTCCTAGACCGCATCACTGGTGCCTTGTCCAGGTAGCTGCCCTGTAGGGACTGGCCAGGGTGGGGGGTGCAGCACAGGGGGATTTCATGGCCCCAAGGGCCCCTTACACAGAACCACGCCACCTGGGGTACCTTTCACAACCGCCTCTAGGGAGGCAGCCTCACAGACTCAAACATGCAAACCATGCCTTTCAGACAGTAGATGGTCTGAGGGTAGACACGAGAGTCAGGACCCCACATGAACCATGAGAGCTACACCCAAACTCATGGTGTGGGGTGGCAGGCAGCATAGGTGATGGGAGATGATGAAGTCAGAAAGCTGGGAGCTAGGGCTGGGTCCAGGGCTAAACACAGGGTCCTCAGTCAGGGGTCAGCACCTTTGTGAAGTCCACCAAGCAGAAAGGACTGTGAGAGACAGGAGCTTGGGGCGCAAGTGGACAGACCAGGAAACCCAGCGTGATGCTTTAGGCTGAGTCGGAGGAGACAGTGAGTGAGTGAGCGTCAATGGGCAGGAAAAGTTCAGGATAGTGGACACCTTGAGGCCAGAGGAACCCTGGGATGGCCCCCTCGTGACCCTGGGTGAGAAGAGTTGAGGATGCTGGGTGTGAGGGAGTCCCTAACCAGAAGGACCAGGAGGTAACAATGAGAAACAGAAGAGGAACTGAGGAAGGAACGTGGGGGAGGGGACACAGGTCGTTGGGGAGGGGACACTGGTGGTCATGGGGGAGACAGTGGGGGAGGCAGCAGTGGGGCAACATTGGAGGGAACAAAAGTGGAGGGGACAGTGGTCTGAGTGTCCCTATACTCTGGTGGGGGGGGCGGGGAGAGGAGAGGCTGCTGACCATAGGAACTACTCATGGAAAGATGGAGTTCCATCTCAGAGAGGGGTGAGGCCTCATACACCAACAGTGGTCTAAAACCAGGCCAGCTAGGGTTGGTGGTGGGTGGGTGTTAGCCTGTCATCCCCAACCCCTTGCCCCCACCCAGGCATCCTGGTGCAGAAACTGAAGCCCAGTACTGACCCACACAGGTGGATAAGGTTAACATCCACCTTGAAGACTAGGTGGAATTCAGACCCACATGCCCGCCCACCCCTGCTGGTCTGAGCTCAGCTGGACTCCACCAACTCAGGTCTCACCCCGTGTCCACAGGGCCCAGCAGGACCCCACCTCGACTTTCACCAAGATCTACAAGCGTAGTTTCTGCCTGCTGCAGGCCTGGGTAGAGGACTGTTACACCGTGGACTTCACAAGGAACACGGGGCTCCTGAGGCAGCTACGCGCCTTCATCTCCTCCCAGGTGAGGGACAGGGTCCACGGCTACAGCAGGTGCTCCGGGCGCTGGGCGCTGGGGTCCTAGGGGCCGTGAGGCGGGGGTGGAGTGGGGTGGGGGGAGGTGGCAACACCCCAGACCTCTGCCCGTGCTCCTGCCCAGGCCAGGCCTCTGGACAGTTACTCAGAGCGTCTGCTGGCCCTACTGGAGGAGAGCATGGACCGGCGGGGAGAGGGGACCCCACGTGGTGGAGACCTGGAGGACCCCAAGGAGGCTGAGGAGGAGGCCGGGCCCCTCAACACCCTCTGTAAGAAGCTCTCCGAAGATGGCCTCTCCCGGAAGGTGGGGGCCTTTCCTGGAAGATCTCCCTGCACAGGCTGTGACACCCCCAGTCATGCACACATATATGAGCATGAGATGTCATGTACACATTCCTTCACATAGCCACACATGTTCTCATATACACGCAGACAAATCCATAAACATGCATGCATGTGTGCACAATCCATGTGCAGTCAGGAGTGCACATGCACACACATGCTCCTCCATGTAGTCTGGGCAACATGGGTTGGGGCATCACTGCCTTAGCCCCAGGTTGGCAGTAGGCAAAACCAGGCCCTCTCTGCCTAACCCCCAGCCAGAGACCCAGGTGGAAGAGCCCACTGTCAGGACGTGACCTGAAGTGGTCAGGCCTGGAGAATGCAGGGGACCGTCCCAGAGTCCAGCAGCTGTCCACAGAGTGACCAGGTGCCCTTCACTAGCAGAGCAGGGACTCAAGGAACAGTGCACTTAGGCTCCAACTGACCAGGCTTAAGACTCTTGGGCTTGAAGCCAAGTTCGGTGCCTGGATCAGGGGCCATGGGGAGACCCTGACCTCTACCTGATGCACACAGAGCTTCCCCTGGCGACTGCCCAAGGGGACCGGGTTGATGCCAGCCACTCACAAGGAGCGCAGGTACACCATCGCATCGGCGCTGCCCAAGCCCTGCTTCCTGGAGGAGTTCTACGGCCCCTACGCCAAGGCCAGTGAGAAGGGACCCTACTTCCTGACTGAGTCTAACACCCAGCAGCTCTTCACCCAGCTGACCCTGCTGCAACAGGTGAGCCTGGACCCCCACCGGCACCCCACGGTGGTACAGCTGTCAGGGACAGACGGGCTGTCGGCCCGAGGGAATTCAGCTCTGACGCCCAGCCCCTCCCTTCCCCTAAACGCTCCAGCCTCCTGGACACTAGAGGGCGTCCCTCGGCCAACTTTACCCCGTGGACACTGGCTGATGCTCGGCAGAAGTTGGGGCTTGCCCGCTGCTGGGTGGGCCCCAGTCACAGACTCAGCCAATCCAATGTCTTCACCACAGCTGGCAGCAGTGGTCAAGAGAGCCCTCAGAGATGCCCCAGGACATGCCCCCATGACCACAAGGTCCCTGGAAGTATGCTCCTAAGTGGTTACACATCTTTGCAGGAACTGTTTCAGAAGTGCCACCCCGTCCACTTCTTGAACTCACGGGCCTTGGGTGTCATGGACAAGAGTACAACCATCCCCAAGTAAGTCCACATCCAGCTCGGGATGTCCACCTAGCACTGGGGCAGTTGGTGGGTGGGTCTTCAGGGGAAATGGTGGAAAGCGTTTGATCTTTCTCAGTGTCTTAGGACACTCTTCTCCCAGCTGCCCAAGGGAAGAGCATGGTCCACTCCCAAGGGAGGGGTATGGTGAGCAGAGCCCACCAGACTTCTTGGGAGTGACCTTGGAGCTTGCAGCCCCAGCACCCTCTGGGTCACACAGCTGGGCTGTGAGCACCGAACAGGAGGCCTGGGGACCGCAGAGCCCCACAGACCCAAGCAGGGCCATCTTTGATCCAGGGTGTGACCTCCCAGGGTGACAGTCATGTGTATCTTGTGTGATGCCCACATGTGACCACCCATGTAACATCCACTTGTGTCCGTATCATCACATACCTCATGATGGCCTCCTGTGACCTTCCCGGGTGACATCCACATACATGTGGTATCCTGTGTCCACATGTAAAGTCTCATGTGATGTCCTTGTGTGACATTCCTGATGCCCACACACGTGAAGTCCCAACGTATGGTTCCAATGTGACATTCCTGACACCCACATATGTGTTGATGTCCTCATGTGACATTCCCATGTTCTCACATGTGGTGTTCTTGTGTGTGACTTTCTCAGGAGATATCTCACACACCTGTTTCTATTTCAGAGCCATATCTTCAGAGTCTCTGTCAGCCAAAACATGCAACTTATTTCTGCCAAATTACATCCAAGACAAATACCTGTTACAACTGTTAAGAAACGCAGATGACGTCAGCACTTGGGTGGCTGCTGAAATCGTGACCAGCCACACCTCCAAGGTGGGCTTCTCTGCTGCCTCCGGGATAGGACGCTCGAGTCCTGCTACTGCCGGGGGCTTGGGGGGGATTCTCGATTTGCTTAGTCAGCCTCTGCCCGGCTCAGGGATCAGATACTCAGATGTCCTGCAGTGACCATCTTGTCCAAGGTGAAAGATGAAAGTGGCAATGTGGCGTTCACCAGACACACCCAGGTTCTTGAGTGTGCCACGCCCTCATCACCATGCCAGGCACATGCCTTCTGCCCAGCTGGAACCTGGTTCCCTCTCCAGGACCAAGGACAAACCTCCCCCATGTGGAGCCTTCATACCTGTGTGCCCCCCCACACACACGTGTGCACATGGAGTGTAACAGGCACTATCCCTCATACACACTCCTTGTCTCTAGAAATGTCTTTCCATGACCTCCAGGCAGGATGCCCTTCCTACCCCGGAAGCTGCTCCACTGTCCACTCTGGGTGCAGTTGTGAGTCCACTGAGGTCTGTCTGGGCAGTGGTCTCGCTTGTGAGTTTTTAGTTGTTTCAAGTAAGCTTCCCCACTACCACCATTTTCAAACTGTTTACCACCCCAGCGTCTCCTCTCTGCACTAGTGGAAAGCCGTGCTAGTCTGTGCCTTGAGGCTGCCTTATATTTACAGGTCCCCCAAAATGCTCCCAGCTTGTTTAAATGAGTGCCATCTACTGGTTTCAGTTGCAGGTGAATTTGCTGTCCAAATTTTTGCTGATTGCAAAGTCTTGCTATGAGCAGAGGAACTTTGCGACCGCCATGCAGATCCTGGGGGGCCTGGAGCACCTGGCTGTGAGACAGTCCCCTGTGCGTACACCAGGGTGCCTGAGGCTGGGCTGGGCTGGGCCCACCTGGTCCCGGATTCATCTATGCTTCTGTTCCAGGCCTGGAGAATTCTACCCGCCAAGATCGCAGAGGTCATGGAAGAGTTGAAGGCTGTGGAGGTAACAGTCATTGTGCGGCTCACCCCCTGGGCTTCTCCTGCCACGGGCCCTGCCCACCTGATTCAGAGTCCAGGGGTCCCTCGGAGCATGCTCAGTATACAGCCGCTCACCTGTGCAAAGGCCGGTGGGGCTCCCGGTGCCCTGTTCTGATTGCATTCCATCGGGGCCTTGTAGTGTGGTTCCTGGTGCTGAGACCAGGTCTGGGCACCACCTCACACGGAGACACATGTACACAAACAGAGACCCAGCAGCCCAGGTTCTGGACGCCAGTCCCAAACAAGGCTCCCAGCAAGACAGGATGGTGTCCCCTTCAACCCCAAAGACACAGGGTGACCGTCTGCCCCACCCCCATCGCTAGGTCCCCCAGCCAGCTCTACCTAGGACACGGTGGCCACCCCGGCCCTTTGGGGAGAGACTGCTTAAGAAAATAAACCTGCGATTTTCTGTGTCTACCGGGGGCCTCCAGACCCAGAAATCCTAGCACTGTGACTGACCAGCTGTCAGGGTGTTTGGCGACCATGCCCAGAGGACACTGGGTCAACCTGCTTCCTCCCTTTCCTTATCCCCGCCCTCCCCAGGTCTTCCTCAAAAGCGACAGCCTGTGTCTAATGGAAGGGCGGCGCTTCCGAGCCCAGCCCACCATCCCCTCGGCCCACCTCCTGGCCATGCACATCCAGCAGCTGGAGACCGGGGGCTTCACCATGACCAACGGGGCCCACAGGTGGAGCAAGCTCAGGTGAGGCACCTCCCTGCCCCAGGACCTCCTCCCTGGGACAACCAGGGTGCACCTCACTTACCCCACAGCCCCATCACCCAGGCCAGAGGAGGGCAATGTGCTTGGTGCAGGCTCAACTGTGCACTGGTCACTCCCCCTGCCCATGTCCAGGCCAGCCCCAGGAAGACCGACTTCCCACTGAGCACTGGCCAGCCCACCCTCTACACTCACCCACTCCTACCATTTCCCACCTGAGGGGTGGCTGCCCCTGCCTGGTGCACACTGGCCGAGTGCAAGGCAGGGAGCCTCACTGTGTGGACAGGACCCAGAGGACCTGCCCAGTGACCGTGTTTGTAAGAGATCAGAGAATCTACACACACACACACACACACACACACACACACACACACACACGAGGGAAAACTCAATGTCCTGTCACAGCCCAGAAGGAACCTGGGTACAGAGATGGTTGGTGTGTGAGAGCATGTGTATGAGCACGTGTGTGTGTGACTACATGTAAAAGTATATGTGCATATACGTATGTGGACTTGTCAGGGTCTCTGTCATGGTTGTGATGTGCTGTGGAGTCAATTCCGACTCATAGTGACCCTGTATAGGGTTTCCGAGGCTGTAAATCTTTACGGGAGCAGAAAACCTGATCTTTTCCCTGTGGAACAGCTGGTAGTTTCGAACTGCTGACCTTGAATCCCAAATCGTAACCACTATACTACCAGAGAGGCATGTATATTATATATGAGTATACTGTGTGGGAGTATGTGTATGACTATGCATGTGGGATTGTGTGTAGAAACGTGTATATGTATGTGTAGGGGGTGTTGTGTGTGTGCATGTATGAATGCATGTCTGTGTACTTGTCATGTGTGTGTGCACATGTGTGTCTAAGTAAACGTACTGTTGCTCTATGGGCTTCTGGTGTGGCACTGTTGGATCAACGCTGGACTTGAAACCACAAGGTCAAGCTGCTCCTCGGAAGCCCTCTAAGGGGTTGCTGAGTCAGAACCGTTGCCACGGCACTTTCCTACACCATCGCCCATTCTGAATCCATGAGGAGAATGTCTGTCCACACAGCCCACAATCCTCCAGACAGAACTGAGGATTCTGTTCTGAGCTCCCTCGTTTGGGCTTCACACCAGTGGGGGGCTGGTCCCTCTAGCACTTGGCTCTCCAGGGGTCCAGAGACCTGGTCCACACCACATGCCCAGTGTCTTGAGTGAAATAATGGGAACCCGTTCACTTTCCCTACAATACTCTGCCCCTGTCAGGGGCTGTATGTTAGAAAAGGCTTTGATTCTGTAGCAGGGCGCTGTATGTGGGGTGGGGAGAAAGAAGCTCATACCATACAGATTCTACCCCGAGAAGCTGAAAGTGTTCACTGCAGACTAGTGGTCAGGCACGAGAAAACTTGTGCTTACCTTGCTTATGGTGTCCCTGATTCTCCCACCCAGCCAGTTTCAAGCTGCCGTGGAGAGGAGTCCTAAGCTGTGCCTAACGGAGCAGCTTCCCGGTGATAGTTGTGAGATGAAAGGGGGTACATGAGTGGATGGACAGAAGAGATGAATGGATGGGGTACAGAGAATAGTGAATCTATGGACAGACAGATGGAGGGACTGACTGGTGGTCAGAGAAATCGAGTTGAGTACAGAAAACCCACCCTTTGGTCTCTGTACTGTGGAAGCGGGTGTTTAACTCGTTCAAACGAGCCCACAGGATGCTGCCCCCCCCCATGTGAACGAATATTCGCTCCTCCCCCAACAGAAACATAGCCAAGGTGGTGAGCCAAGTGCACGCCTTCCAGGAGAACCCCTACACATTCGCCCCTGACCCCAAGCTCCAGTCATTCCTCAAGCAGAGGATTTCGCGCTTCAGCGGGGCCGACGTGTCCATCTTGGCGGCCGACAGCAGAGCCAACGTGCACCAGGTGACCAGCGAGAAGCATTCCCGCAAGATCCAGGACAAGTTACGGAGGATGAAAGCGACGTTCCAGTAACGTGGACGGGCGACCCTGTAAGGAGGGTGCAGCTGGACAGGAAGGAGCCTGTCCCCAAGACCTCCTGCTCAGTGGCGGTCCTGCGTGGCGGTCCTGCGTCCCCGTCCCTGGCGGAAGCACCATTCCCGCTGCATTACATTAGCTATTTTTAAAACCCAAGTAGGCGGGCCCAGCACTAGTGGACTTGGCCTCTCTGCCCTGCCCTGAGCAGACCTGGAGAGACACACGCTGCTGGGACAGAAGCCAGCCTAGAGAGCCCTCCTCCCCAGCACACGGAGCCAAAACAAGGCACGGGAGAGCTGAGAGGTCCCCAGTGCCGTGTGCCCACCAATGAACTTCAGACACGCCCCCTTCTCTAGTGAGCTAGCCTCGCCCCCCCAAAACACACCTGCAAGGAAGCAGAGATACTGCGGGCCTGACAGACCACCGGACTCCAGGGCGTTCCAGAACCTCTGCTTAAGCCCTTGAGGCATCCCCACCAGGCTCACAGGTGCCAAATCGGCGGCTCACTGGTTCCATGAGCTCAGTGCCTCCGCCCAGCTGCTGGGGAAGGTAATCATGCTAGACCTGGAGCCCAGGTGCAGCCTCCTCGGGGTCCAACGTCCCATCATGTGGCCTGGGTGCCACAGGGCGATCCGCCGCTCCATCCAGTCTCCAGCAGCCACAGCGCAGGGTGTCTGCCCTCTGCTCCCCACTCCTGCCTCGATGGCACCAAGCTCGTACCAGAATGTCACTGTTTTAAGTGGAGAAAGCCCTTCTGGCCAGTGAGGTCAGGACTGGGCCGTCCTGGCTGGGGGTCAGGAGGGTGGGTAGGAGAGCAAGGTCAATATTCACCAGGAGCCCAGGGAGAGCGCTAGCTGCCCCTCCCTCCTGCAAAAAGGCCAGACCCCCTGGCACACCCCCAGGCACCATCAGCTCTTGCAAATGAGTTGTTAGGGTGATTCCTTAGTGTTTCTGGGGAAGCTGTTAACACAGTGTAACAACGCTGAATTTTTAATGTGTCTCCCGCTTAGATGTGACAAGAGCTTGCAATTCCCACAACGCAAGCGCGCTCAGTTCCTCTTTCTAGGCTTTTCTACAAGGATTTGTGTTCTGCCAATCAACTCGAACATTTTCGGATTTTGTATTGAACAAAGACAGCGTCAGTGCAAAAAAAACATTCCACTGGGGATGCCCGGCTTCGGCTTCAGCATGCCGTCTGCATGCCGCCTGCTGTGACGTGTCGCTGATTTCTAAATAAAATCATTTCTACCCAGAGGATTTCCTGTGCCTCCTTGTTTGTGTTTAAAAATTGACGCCTGCTTTGTGGGCCAAGATCGCCTCCTGCAGGCAGCTTGGAGGTGGGGAGGTGGGGGAGGAGCGCAGTATGGGAATGAAACGCACAAGACAGAATTGGAGATGCAAACCCACCCACCTAGCTGACTCCATTTCTAATTCAGATCCCACCGTGAGAACATGCTTCACCCATTCTGTGAACTCGGCTGCTATCCCAGGAAACCTCTCCTCAAAGGACTCGATCCACCCCACCTCTGTGCCCACCAGAAACCTCTCAGCACCCAGCGGCCCTCCACTCAATCCCAGCCTGCACTGCGGCCCACACGTGACAGCCCATTGACAAGATAAAACTGAGTTCCCTTCCCGCTCCCCAGGGCCAAGGTGTGTGACTTGGACAGAGCTCTGGCTGTGTTGGGAGGGTGCAGGTGGAGGGACCGGCATTCACAGAGACCCTGAGGTTTGGCTGTTAAGTGCCATCAAGTCAGTTACTACTCATAGTGATCCTGTAGAGGGTTTCCCAGGGCTTTGAAGGAGCTTGAACCTCCGACAGGCAGTTCTAACGTCGCCACACCAGGACTACTGAAGTTTGATTTCTTAAGTCCGTGGAGTCAGTTCCGACTCATAGCAACCCTATTTGCTTGTTTTGCAAGCGTTGACCTTGCAGTCCAGTGCATTATCTTGCAGTGCCACAGTAGGTGTTTAAACGCAAGGGCTTAGTTGATTCTGACAGGACCCTACTAGAATAGTTTGGGGTCCCTGAGCAGTATAGATGGTCATCACCCTGAGTAGCTAACCAAAAGGTTAGATTTCCAAGTCCACCTGGCAATCTGCGTCCCAAAAAGCACCCCTTAAAATCCCTGTGGATGCAGTTCTACCCTGATACACATGGGGGCACCAAGACTTGATTTCAAGGCAACTGGGTTTTTTAATAATTAAGTTTAGGATTGGTACACACAAAGGGAGGGCTTGGGGGCCATAAATTCAAAGTGGTTTGTTGAGTAAATGTCTGCTGATGATTCTATGGAAGAGTTGATGGGGGTCTTTATGGAAGTTCCTGTAATGAACAATAAGGTGAGGCGTCCTGGAACCTGGTTAAAGACATGCTAATGAGCACAGGGAAAGCTAAAGTCATGTTAATGTGGACAGTCAGCAACACAAGGATAAGGTGGCAGTGGGAAGGTGGAGGTGAGAACCCACCCTGAGAGGATCCCATTCTAGAAGGTCACAGCCTTAAGACCCATGCAAGGTTGCCAGGAATAGAGTCCAAGGCAACCAGAGGCACAAATGCAGCCCCTGGATGGCACAATCGTCAACATGCTATTCACTGAAAGGGTTAAGTCCACCCACCGGTGCCGCCAAAGAAACGCCTGGCATCTACTTGTAAAGTCCCTGAGGCACAGTTCTACTGTGACACACGTGGGTGGGGTATCTGATTCCATGTACAAATACAAAATAAAACCCACCACCAGGCAAGTGGGGTAGCAGAGTCAGCACCCCACTATCCCATCGGAAGTCGACAAAGCCCCGGGCTTGCCATGACTGAGCCCGGGACCAGCCGCATAAACCTAGATCTGACAAGAGACCCCTGCCCCCTGAAAGAGGGCGCACCCTCACAGCACCCAGTATAAGGTGTGGTGCCGCAGGAAAAGCCCTTGATTGCAAGGTATGGTTGAACTACAAGGTCAGTGGTTCAAACTCATCAGCCAATCCTTGGGAACCCTATAAAGGGTCCTTATAAGTTGGAAATGACTCAACAGCACATAACAACAACAAATACTTGTCCTTAAAATGATGTGATGGCAGAGGTGTGCATGCTCTATGAAAAGCAGACATACCAGTGAGGGGCAGCATCGCTGGCGCTGGCGAGGTGGACCACCCCCCTCATTCTTCTGGGAATGTTCTAGGCTATAGCAAACTTAGTACTTTGCTGAAGATTTGGGCCCGCTGATCTTTGTCTTGACTCACAAGGAGATAGGGCTTGCTGGTGCCGTCCCTTTCCCACACTGAACCAGGTCTCACGTCCAGGGCACCCTGCCCCCGCACCTGTGGACTTGACAAGGTGGACGCACTACATGGACCCTCTACAACAAAGATCTGAGAGACCAAATGAAAGAGCCACAGATGGAAATCCTGGAACCCTGAACTTCTGATGGAAGGTTAACGCTTAATTAGGGGAGAAGCAGAGCAGGGACAATGAGAAGAGGGTGACTGACCGGTCGAGCTGCTGGCCAGATGTGCTGCGGCCTTCTTGAACTTCTGTGAGCAGCTTTGGAAACAAGACAGCCTGGCAGAGCAGAGTCACACAGGTGTGAGTGATTCTTTCTTTTCCCCAGAGCCCAGCCACAATGTTACCTCTGCAGGTCCACTAGGCAAAAGCCAATACCAGGTCCTGTACCATGTGATCAACAACAGAGCAGCCAACACCACCAACCAAGCTCACCCTAAACCAAGGTACACAAATGCTGAACAGAAAATGATGCACACACTTGGATTTTTTAACTACATCCACAAGAGACAGCTGGTAAGAGCTTAGGGACACATCAACATACAGTCATCAATTAACACAAATATGACACCACCAGGATGTCCAGGAGACAATCCACAATGTTAGTTCACAGGAGGAAACAAGAGAGATGCAGAGCCGGAAAACAGCTGTGAGGAAGATAAGGTAAGGAACTAGCTGAAGAAGAATCTAAAAGAATGATATTTAGGTACTTTCAAAGAACCGACAACAAGATCAAGGAGAACACAGAAAAAGTTTTAGAAGAATTCAGGAAAACACAGACAGACAAAATGAGTGCAAACTTTAAAACAATACCAAATCTGCAATCAGAAATCCAGAAAATTAATACTAAGATGTTAGAAACAGACAATATATTGAAAGGGCAAAGGAAGCCCAAATTATTGAACTTGAAGGTAAATCTCTCAATATTAGTAAGCTAGAAAAACAATCAGAGAAAAGAAGGAAAAATCCAAACAAAGAATTGAATGAATTACGTGGGACACCATGAAAAGGAATAATTTACAGGTGATCAGAATTCCACAATAAGAAAAAGACATAAAAAACACAGAAAAATTTGTCAAAGACTTTTTGGAAGAAAACTTCCCTAACATCATGAAGGACAAGAAGCTGAACAAACCCTAAACAGGGCAGATCCCAAAAGAAATTCACCAAGACATTTCATAATCAAACTTTCCAAAGACCAAGACGAGCACCTCATGAAAAATGCAAAGTTACCTACAAAGGAGAACCAGTAAATCTAAGCTCTGATTTCTCAGCAGAAACCATACAGGTGAAAAGGTAATGGGATGATAGATACAAAACTCTGAAAGAAAACAATTGCCCAACAAGAATTATATAGTCAGCAAAGCGGTCCCTCAAATACAACTGAAATTAGGACATTTCCACATAACAGAAATCCAAGGAATTAATAATAACCAACCAACTTTACAAAACTTAGTAAAGGCTGATCTTTGGACTAAGAACCAACAGTAGACCAACATACATGACAGTACCGCCCAGAACTCAATCCAGGTATGTTGTTACAAGAAGCACATCTTTTACACACAAAGACGGAAAAAAATAGACTAAAAACCTAAGGATGGAAAAAATATATCAAGCTCGTGGCAATCAAAAACAAACAGGACCCAGAGGTGCGTCCCGCCTCCTCCTCGGTAGGCCACCTTTTGTAACTGCTTCAAGGCGTCCGTCATTGGTTCTGGCA